AAAGAAAGCTGTAATATATCCAATATCAAACTCCTTAGAAATTTTTTGATTTCCATCACCACATCCCAAATAGACTAGAGTTGGGGACAACATCACAGCCTTAAATATTACTCCAGATGCTGGTTACATACTAATTAGTCTTTTATATTTATGTATAAAGTTGAGTAAACATTGCATTTTGCATGGGGCAGACACACGCACACACAAAAGAAGACAACATAAAAAGACTGGGATAGAAACCTGATGCTCAAAAAAAGACGTATACCTAATAAGCCAATAATAGAGATAAACTGAATAACATGAACTAAATTATCATAAAGAAGGCAGAAAAACGTGGAAAAGAAAATTTTAAAATCTCCCCCACAGTATTTGAACTGAGTGAGTTTAGCAAGGTAGCAGGATACAAAGTTAATGAACAAACCCCCCAAACCAATGATTCTTCTATATCCTAGCAGTGAGCATTGGGAATTGAAAATTTTAACATACTATTTATGACAGTATAAAACTACAGAATAGAGATGGATAAATTTAACAAAATACTTGCAATACCGTACATTCAAATCCACAAAACATTCATGAGTCAAATTAAAGAGGACTCAAATAAATAGAGCTATACCTTGCATGCAGATTGGATGACTCAGTATTACTATAGAGCTGGTTCTCTCCCAAATTGATCTATAGATTCAATGCAATCAAAATCAGAGTATCAGTAGACTATATTTAGCAGCTAATCCTTAATTTTATATAGAAGTGAAAGGGGATCAGAATAGCCAAAACAACTGAAAAATGAAAAACAAACTGACAGGCTGACTTTACCTAATTTCAAAATATTTTGTAAATCCATAGCAATGAAAATAACAATATAGATCAGTGGAACAGAATGCATAATTTTGAAATAGGTCAATACTTGCAAGGTCAATTAATATTTTGTAAATTCACTAAGGCAATTTAATGTGGAAGGGATATCATTTCAATAAATCGTGCCAGCTCAATTCAGTATGAATATGTGTCAAATGAATATAGTCTCTTATGATGCACCTCATGCAAAATGTAACTTGAAATGGGTCAAGTGTGTAAGTGTGTCAGTTTCTCATAAAGTTACATATGTGCCATTGACCCAGCAATTCTACTCTTAGGTATTTTCACAAAAGAAAAAAACTTTTCATTACAAAGGTTTGTATGCATAGCTACACACGTATACACATCTATGTGACAAAAGTAATATACTGAAATGCAGTGAGGAAAAGACGGCCTTTTCAACAAATGGTGCTAGGGTAATTGAATGTCCATATAGAAGAAAGATGAATTATAACTCACGCCATAAACAAAAATTACTTCCAGAAGGATTACAGAGCTAAATATAAAAGTTAGAAAACAAAAGCTTTTTGGAAATAACATAAGGGAATATCTTTATATATTTGGCCAGGTTAAAACAAAATACAGAAAGCACTAATCATAAAGGAACAAACAGACAAATAGGGCTGCATTAAATTTACAATATGTTGTTCAACAAAATATATCATTTAGATAGTGAAAAGGCAACTCACAGAGTAGGAAAAGTCTGTCTGTCTGTCTGTCTATCTATCTACCTGCCTACCTAACTTTAACAAAGAAATCAAATCCAGACTACATAAAAGATTCTTCAAATCAATAAGAAAAAGGGTGGAGAAAAATGCAATAGAAAAATAAACAAAAGATTTGAATGGCTACTCCACATAGGAAAATATCCAAATGAACAACAAACATAATAAAAGGCGGTCGAATTCACTTTTTAATATCAAAGTAAAACCATGAGGCACTCTCACACACTCACCAGCATGACTAAAATTTAAAAGACTAACTAACAATCTGAGTCTTGCTGAAGATGTGGAGCAACTAAAACCCTTTTACGCCACAAATGGGAGGATATGTGGGTAAATCTCTCTGGACTGCCATTGGGTTGTAAATTTCCACACATTTCCATGCCTAGGTACACCTAGAACGTACATTGTAGAATTGCATATATTTGCTTATCAACAGATGCAAGAATATCTACAGCAGCCCTATTCATAATGGTCCCCAACTGGAAAAAAACCTAAATGCCCCATCTATGTTATAATGAGTTAAAAATTGTATTGTATTTATCTAATGGAATTCTACACAGAATGAGGCTACATAAACCAAATATACACTAAAGATTGATGAATCTCCTAAACAAAATGGTGAACAAAATAAATCAAACAATACTGATAAATTGGTCTACAATAAATGTAAGAATTTCTGTTCATCAAAAGACACGCCAGTTGCACTTGATGAGGAGAATAACACACGGAAGGGTTAGAATATTGGCCAAGACACTTGGGCAGAGACAATGTCGAGTCCCAGGGAGTAACAAGACGGTGCCTGGACCTTTCACCCAAGTTCTTCCCTGGGG